GGTAGAAAGGCTGCAGAAAGAGGCAGGAGTCGGCGGAAAGCCTTCTTGGCCCAATGCCACGGAGGCATAGAGAGAGAGAGAGAGAGAGAGAGAGAGAGAGAGAGAGAGAGAGAGAGAGAGAGAGAGAGAGAGAGACAGAGAGAGAAAGAGAGAAGGGCACAGACAGACAGACAGACAGACAGACAGACAGAGATAGGCGGCATAACGTGCACCGGGACTCGCCATGTACGAAAACGGTATCTTTAAACCATGACTTGAAAACCTATAGTTATGCAAGAAGTGAATAGTTATCAGTGGAAAGATATAATATTATATATAAAAAAGGAGTGTAGCGTTGGCGTAATAACTTATCACTGATTGTGTTTATATCCCTGCTCAAAAGTTGACACAATCTGATTTACTACTATCCCAGCACTATTATCATTATTCTTATATAAGACTTTTATACTGCTTTAAAATATATTTAAAAAAGCAGCGTTGTGTTGGGGCAAAAACTGATCATGGACTGTGCTTATATAAAGGATTCCCTGCTCGAAAGTAGACACTATCAGGTTTATCGAAAACCCAGAATCAATATTATTATCTTATAAGACTCTTTATTATTGTTTAAAAATCGTATTCCATTTATTTCCCATGAGAAACTTATTGACCTTCCTGTCGTTGGCGTCCTGCGGTCTCCTAGTTAGGCTGTTGGGTTCACAACCGAAAGACAGTGGGTTCGATTCCCGACAGGGACCGGACATTGTAGCCCTGAAAAACGTGCTTTGCACAAGTATTACTTTTTTAAAGATTTTTTTCTCCTACGTTTGTTGCTTTGCGTTTTGTTGCCGGGATTTGCTTTGCTTCTTAAAGCCCCCCCACCGACACCTTGCTCTTCAAATCCTGAAAAATTTTCTAGTTCCAACTTGTTCCCTTACCCTGGCATTGTCAATGAATGTACACTTCACGCTTCACGACAGTCAACGACATACATTGTTTACTCGTAATTGTAAGTAGGTCGCGGTCAGGTCATCTTGTTCGGCGTTGATACCTTTGTCCAAAAGCGCTAGTCTAGCAGAACTCGCCCCAGCTCTCAACTTTATTCATAGGCTACCCAAGCACCATACATGTAGAGGAATCTACCTCAGAATATTTATATTTTATTTCATGATTTCTATTTATAAACTCCTTATTCATATCTCATGTGGCTGTGACTCGCACCGTCATTGGACTTTGCACCTCCGCGACCACTCCCGGAACCGATCCGATGTAGCGTAAGATGGTCATAGTAAACCCACGATTTCACTCTGTCACATAAGGCAGTGTGTACAAAAGCCAAAGCTCTCTCTTTCTCTCTCTCTCTCCCTCCCCCCCCCCCTCTCTCTCTCTCTCTCTCTCTCTCTCTCTCTCTCTCTCTCTCTCTCTCTCTTACACACACACACACGCGCACACGAGAGCACCATTAATTCAGTCGGTCTAGTGCTGGACTGTAGGATGGGCTATTCATGGTTAATTTCCAAATATATACAAGAAGAACATTGACAATGACAACCATAGCAAGGTACGTCCTGTCTAAAGGATGCATTAAGATTAATTTCTATTACTGGTACACTGTACATTTCTTTTTCCGACGATTTCAAACATCTAAGCCGCCTTGCACCCTGATCTCCAAGGACAAGTAGCAATGCATTGAGAATCAAAACAATCTAACCCTAGTAGAGAGCGAGAGAGACTGTTTTAGTAAAGAGAATTGCATCCACATGATACCTGCCATTTAGCCTTGTGCTGGTAAAAAGCAAGGCAGACAGAAACAACGGAAGAAACAACAAGCAGAAGGACCCACTAGTAACGCCCTGCAACCAACTGCACACACAGAGAGAGAGAGAGAGATAGAGAAAGAGAGGGGGGAGGGAGGGAGGGAGGGAGGGAGGGAGGGAGAGAGAGAGAGAGAGAGAGAGAGAGAGAGAGAGAGAGAGAGAGAGAGAGAGAGAGAGAGAGAGAGAGACATGCGGACATGCACTCCCCTCACCTAAACACATCCATGGTATATACACATAAACTCTGGTTGTGGTTGTGCAGTGGGGAGAAGGGACGTGAGAGGATGGGGTTAGTTGGGGTGGTGCCTAGGATGCAAACTCAAAACAGAGGTAGCTATAAAAGTGCCGGACTGTGAACTGAATAGCTGGGACGCAATCAACAGGTTTTGACAAGAGACCTGCTGACCACAAGATAAAACTAAAGAACTAATTCACAATGTTGTCAAGACCACTGACAAACTTCAGTGCTCTTCAGACACCACAAGAAAGGAATTCTCAAGCATTTTTAAGCAAGGCTAAGTGGGGCGCTAAGTGGGGCTGAGTATTATTGAACAGAATGTGTAAGGACTCACGAGATAAACAGGTTCAAATGTAGGCCTCTCTACACTTACAAAGCTGAATCAAAATTATCTAATCTTCAACTTACAATTCCTATCCCATACCCAAATTTGGTCTCTCTTCTCTCTCTCTCTCTCTCTTCAAATGTAAGTATAATGAAATAGATTGAGGGTGTACTTTTCAGTTTACTGTGACAATTTTGGCATTTTGTTTTTTTGCCATCTATGATGCAACTACCTTAGCATTACAAAGTTATATTCTCAATTTCTTTAGATACCGGTACACACACTTTTGGGTGCTCCATATCAAATAATATTCTCAAATCAACAGCAGTATAATGGTGGGCTACTATCCATCTTTTTTTTTTTCATGCCAAAATACAGATCTCTTGAATGGAAATCCACATACAAATTTAATTATGACAGATCGAGTAAGGTCAATTAAAATGCCACACTTATAAACAAGTAGACACATCAGCAGACACCAGAGTAGCTCCCCCATGAAAGGAGTCCATTCTTTTTATGAATCAGACTGGGAAGTTTCAGTACTGTAGACCAAGATCAGGTAAACTGATGAAAAGGGTTGTTGTGGAAAGTAGAATCTATAGGATTATGAGTGTGGGCAGAATTCATAAGAAAGGTCTATATATCTATTTCAATTTTCAAGAGCTAGTCTAGAGATTTTTAGATGAGTGTAAAAACGTGAAAAAGAAAGGTATCACAACAGAATGAAATCAAAATTAGTTGAACAGCCCATAAACAACTACAAAAATAAACAAATAAGGGTGTGTGTCAACCTGTCCGAAGAAAATTGCCTGTTTTAACCCTAAAAGTGTGTAAATTTTAACAAATAGTACAGGATATTACATGATGTAAATTATGGAATCACACCCATTAAGGGCCCTGCCAGTGTCAGTACATGTAATCAGTTTTGGTGGAACGTACGCTCTAAAATAAAACATTTAAAATCTATATATATATATACATGTATAAATATTTAGAATCTAATGAAGGAAGGAACATCAAATTAATTGACGTTACACTATGCAACATCCCCCCCCCCCTTTCCCCAACAAAAAAATGGTAGAAAAACAAACACACCAGAACAATAACAAGAAAAAAAATTACACACTAACAAAAAAAAACACCACAAAGAGTCAAAGAGGGAAAATAAAAGTAACTGTAACGTATTCGACAAATCAATGTGGTGACAACAAGTGAGAAAGAGATTAAGTGAAGCTAAGTGAACTTTCTTTCAAAAGTAAAGAGGTTTCGGTTTCTTTCTTCTTTTTTTTTTAAATTTGACTTTTATTCCCCGACCAAAAAATGCCAAAAAATCGAGCCACAATTGATTGGTCGCGGCCGCAACAAACGCAGAAGCTAGTTCTATGTGTCGTTATTGCAATAACCCTCCGTAGATCTAGATCTAGACAGCACACGAGTGAACACAACACATTAAGTTTAAGAGCAGCACCCTTCATAGGCAACACGTCATATCTGTAGCGAAAAACTGTTTGGAACTGTAGCATATTTTATTCTTTATAAATATTTACTGCAGACTTTTTTGGACCGATTGAACCATATTGTATACGAACAATCTTTGGAAGGCCTATACTCTATATAATATCCGAAATTTGCGGGAAAGGATGTGATTTCAGAGTGTTCGGAGAAATAGTGCTCAGCTTTATTTTCCCGAACGTTCTGAGAAATAGTGCTCAGCTTTATTTTCCCGAACGTTCTGAGAAATAGTGCTTAGCTTTATTTTCCCGAACGTTCGGAGAAATAGTGCCCAGCTTTATTTTCCCGAACGTTCGGAGAAATAGTGCCGGCCATATTAAAAACTGGGGAAAACCATGAATTCCTAAGGTTGAGACATCAGGCAAAGTCAGTCCGCTGGTCTGGTATTCTTCCATCTTACCGGCCGTATGATAAAAATAAGAAAGAAAAAAATACATTTAATCTATATCTAGATTCTAGGGTAAATTTTTACTTTCACTCCCGCACACAGATGCACTGTTTCAGGGGTCAAACTGCTGTACTGTTTGCTGCAGATCACACATAAAGCCACTAAAACTGTCGCAAATCAATTATTTTCAAGACAATTTCAAATCTAACTGTAAAATATCAAATTATGGGTAAAAACAGGGGGGCATGCCCCCCTGTAACCCCCAGATTTTCTTTTACCCCAGTTTGGCAGGCCCCCCTGGAACCCGCCGATTGGTCCAAAGCATGTCGATCTCGGTTAAAAACAATCAAATATTTCAAAAACTATTAATTTGCGACGGAAATGAAGTTGATATTCGTGTTCAGCGCATCAATATTTAGTAGAAAATAGACAACTGGTAGCTGAGTGTGAGACGGGAGGGAAAGGAAAAAAATACCGATTCTAGATCTAGAATCTAGATCTTCTAGATCTAGATATCTGCATCTACATAGATCTAGATTCTAGATCTTAATTAGAAATCTACTGATTTCATAATCTCACTTTTCAGTTGTAGACTGTGTAGACCAACAACTTGAATACTGACCATACTGTACACTCCACACAAAACGACAAAAGTAGAAGCATGTGAACTTCCTGACCTAGAATTAGAATCTAATAGAAAGAGATTGCCCCTTTTTCCTTAATTAGTTAAATTAGGCCTACCTAATTTTAGTTTTAGGCCTGTTCCGTCAGCGCTGCCAGTGCCAGTCAGAAGACCCTTGTGAAGATCTCGGCAAGCCTAGGCCCTACTAGGATCGAATTGTTTTGACTACTTTGGACTTGATCATGTGATTGTCATGTGACACACAAAATATTGACATGCACCAGTTATTTTCGACTTTATATGTATTGAATTAATTGACTTTTACATGTTTAATTATTTATTTGATACGTAGCAAAATAAAATAGTATTCAGTATATTAATTTATTTATCCCAAAAAGTATTTAAAATCAATTTGATTACCAAAAGGTGTGGCTCCGCTTGATCGTGTATCAAAGAAAAACCAAGGACGGCAACTACGGCCTACCTGCCACACTTGTAAACAAGCGGACACGAACTTGTGTCAATCGACTGTCACTGATGACTTTGCACGATCTAATTTCTCGGGCTCGCATCTGATACGAGCGTTTGGCTGTCTACGGACTAGACTATATTTTATCAGAGTTGATACAGTATACAGGTTAAAAACGATTGAAGTAGGTTTGATTCTAGATCTAGACTTTACAAATGCTTTTGATACAAATACTGTGGGCGGTGGGCCGTGGGCCCAGACTCTACTCAGACTGTACTGTACTGTACTGTAACAGAACCGCCTAAACCGACGTAGATCTAGATCTAGATCTAGATATAGATCTAGATCCAATCTAGATATCTAGATTTAGATCTAGACTAGTCTAGATCTAGAGGTAAGATTGTACTTTACTGGACCACTGGTAACCGCGGGTCGGAACTACTTTCGCTATGTAGATCTAGATTCTAGAATCTAGCTAGAAAGGCCACCTCTATTCTCACCTGGAGTGAGAATAGTGCAGGCGAGTCTTGTGGCTATTCTCACCCGGTGCGGGTTCACCAAATTTTGCGTTCATCCTAAACCACAGAATTCTACACTGTGATAACAGAAAAATTGTAGAATTCTGTGCCTTGAACAAACGTTCCATTACAACTGTAGCCTACTAAAAGCGTACAATTTTGTCTGTGGGCAGTGGAGAGAGAGAGGAGTAGCGCGAGAATTTCCGGGCAAAACAAAAGGGCAAAACAAAAGGGCAAAACAAAATGGCGACCCGCCTAGTTCGGCTCGATTCGAAAAGTTAAATAGCCATAGCATCTTTGTAGATGAAAGTGGCTATTCTCAATACTGTCTATCGGTGTGATCAACTCCTCCCCTCTTCTCTCTCTCTCTGTCTCTTTCTGAATACTGTCTATCGGTGTGGACGATCAAATTGACCAAAACAAAGTTTAAAATGATGTTAAAACACAAAAGTAAATTAATTTGGTTGTCTACAAAGATGCTAGGGCTATTTAACTTTTCGAATCGAGCCGAACTACGCGGGTCGCCATTTTGTTTTGCCCGGAAATTCTCGCGCTACTCCTCTCTCTCTTTCTCTCTCTCTCTCCACTGCCCACAGACGAAATTGTACGCTTTTAGTAGGCTACAGTTGTAATGGAACGTTTGTTCACGGCACAGAATTCTACAATTTTTCTGTTATCACAGTGTAGAATTCTGTGGTTTAGGGTGAACGCAAAATTTGGTGAACGCGCACCGGGTGAGAATAGCCACAAGACTCGCCTGCACTATTCTCACTCCGGGTGAGAATAGAGGTGGCCTTGTAGATAACCAAATTAATTTACGTTTGTGTTTAAACATCATTTTTTAACTTTGTTTTGGTCAATTTGATCGTCCACACCGACAGACAGTATTCAGAAAGAGACAGAGAGAGAGAGAAGAGGGGAGGAGTTGATCTTGCGAGAACTTCCGGGCGGGTGAGAATAGCCACTTTCATATCTAGAAATCTAGTAGCCCCTGGTACTTAGTGGTCCGCTATTCTTCCTTTCCGAGCTCCCCTACTCATTTTCCTATGTCCTCACCCTTCGACACAATACATGTGATTAAACATAGAAAGACGCAAACTATTTTTAGGTACGGCGCCCATCTTGTCTGACGTCAGACCAGGATTTCCCTCCGATCACGTGACTACATCTAGATCTAAGTATAGCCAACCGCATGGCACCAAAGATGGAAGAGTACGAAAATTGCCGTAAAGACGCTGGAGGATTAGATCTAGATCTAGATATCTAGATTTAGATCTCCCCCCCCCCCCCCCCTGCATTATTCATCTCACATTAAAAAACAAAACAAACTTCAAAACAGCTCTACAAATTATAATTTATGGGACTGTTGGTCAGTCGGGAGGAGGAAAAGAGAAAAAAAAAATAGTCCGGGACCGGAATCGAACTGCTCCTAAAATCATTGCATGACTTCAAATGCAGACGCGCTGTCTATTCGGCAATCAGAACTTCCGAGAGCATGGTGTAGATTAAGCATTATAACATAGACACTTCCATCTTTGGTGCCATACGGTTGGCTATACTTAGATGTAGTCACGTGATCGAGGGGTATCCTGGTGTGACGTCAAACAAGATGGACGCCGTACCTAAAAATAGTTTGCGTCTTTCTAAGTTTAATCGCATGTCCCTTCGACTGCCAACTACCGACTGACGTCTCTTACCGGGTTTTCAGTCATAATGACCGTGCCCTTTGACCCACAACCCTGACTCCTTGAGGCTAATTGGTCAATCTAATCTCGTGGTCCACTATTGACTATTGTTATTTGCTCGCGACTCTGCTAGGCTAGGCCCAGGCCTACTCCTGGCCCGGCAAAGTACAATGGAGGGCTAGAGATGCGCACGAGAGCTCATTTGCATATTGCTACCCCCTCGGCCCTGCTCGCGACTTGGCGAGTGCTGCGAAGCAAGGCTCGGCCTGTTCCAACTCTAATTAGATCTACCCCGATTGTCCACTTAGCTCCATGGTCCGCTCATGTTATATTGTTGTTGTGTATGGGTTTTTTAAAAATAATTTCTTCCAGAGCCCCCTGAAACCCCCCACTGTTGTTGTTAACACAATTGTCGGATCATGTTATTGTTTTGCATTTGTGTGTTTTCATTATTATTGTTTCATGGTGGTCCACCAAAGTTAAATCGCCTACCCACCCTCAACCACCACCTCTCGCTCACCTTGCCTCGCCACGGGCTTGTGCTCGGCGCGAAGTCGCCCACGTAATTACCTTTTGTCCGCACGTAGAGAACTATGATGAGTGCGTAGTTAGGCTAGGCATGCGTAGTAATCACGGGCCCAGACAGGTGGTCCAGTAAAGTACAATCCAGCCCTACACTACTACAAGAGAGAGTCTACAGCGTGCTCTCTCTGCTGTGTGTTTTACATTACGAACTGACTGTTCGGAATCGAGTCCAATTAAACAAATAAATATAATCAGAATCTAGATCTACATTTGGACTCTCAATTGAGTCCAGCATGACAATTGACGTCCATTCCGACTTCCGACCCTTGTTCCTGAATATGTCCAGCATTTATGAAAAATTTTGCGATAGCCTAAGATCTCGAATAATGATAACAATTGAGACTTATGCTTTAATATCCAGTTGCTAGATTCTAGATATATCTAAACTGGCTCTCCGTGCATCATTAGTATGAACTGAACAACCAAACTGAGTTGACCTCACCGGGGGCAAAGTTAATTATGTCAACCAATGAGATTGCGCGAAGCGATCGTGCACTCTCGGTTTGCTGGGGGAACGAGGTGTTGGGAAGAGGCCATGGCTGTCGATTTTGTGCGACAGAATTAAATTTTTAAAATACAGAAAAACTATAACACACAACAAAATGATATTAAACGTTTGGAAATACGAATGGTAGTGGACCGGTGAAAGTAATGATGATGCTGTAGGCTGTAGTGGTGGCGGAAAGAATCTGAGTTGTCAGTTACCGTGTACTTAGACACTGCCACTGAGCAATGAGAGTGCAGTCTTTTGACTTTTGACACAATTACACCTGGATCGATAACAACAACACTGGATCGATAACAACGATACAATTACACAGTCCTCGAAACGAACTGAAGTCTTTTGTGTGCGACGACAAAGTGCTTGACCCGTGCGCATTTTAAGAAAAAATGGCCTTTGTATCATAAGAATGGCCGATCCATTATTAATTTTTAAGTGCATTGAATAGAGCTTTATTTTTTACAACTTGACTATGAAAAAAACCAACCTTGCACTTTTGGTGCAAGCCTCTCTACGCAAATAACCAGAATCTTCTGTAATATGTACTGAGCCCACAGCCACGAGAGTTCGCGACGTCACGACACAGTACACAGTAAGCCTGTCCGTGAGTCACATCACAAGTCACCGGAAGTTCCCCCCGGTAGCGAGCGGTAGGCAAAGCAAAGCACAAGCCTGCTCGCAAGCCTCTGGCGCCAGCCATCCGCTCCTCGCAAGCCTTCGATTAATCGAGCAGACTCCAGCTTTACCATATATTTATCTATGCATGTTTCTCACCTTTGCTTTAAAGTCCCTCATGACTAGCTTTCTATCCTGAAACAATTGTTGTTACATGGCTTTTAGGTCCTTATAGAATAAAATTTCTCCCCTTCGTCACTGTAATGCTCTGAAACTGGTGCTTAAACTTTGATGACACCTAGGTTGAAAGGTTTCCCTTTTAAATTAGCAATGATAACTATGTCGTTTTCAGTTTTTTTCCTCTCATTTATGTTGCAGTTCCCATCACAATCATGAATCACCTGTCATCTGTGAAGCATGTGATTATCATCCTGTCTGGGAAAGGAGGTGTGGGAAAGAGCACCATGGCAGTGCAGATTACCCTTGGGCTGCATGCTGCTGGTAAAAAGGTGAGAGTTACTTTTTTCTTCAACAACATGCTTTGTTGCAGTGTAGGGAGACGCATAATTTGTTGACTTTAAGAGGTCACTGTCATGCTGGCAGCTGACGCTATTGTAACTTTTACTACTTTATTATGGTTGTCGTTCAACATACCTTAGTGCTACAAAGAAAGGAATCAACTTCCTCTCTTTCCTTTTTTGTTGTTTTATTTTGTTTTCTTTCCTGTCACATGTATTTGAAAATTGTATAAATTTGTACTCGGTTTTACTTTCCATGTCGCTCATTACGTACTGCAAAAAAATGAATCTACACACTTGGCAATCATCTGTAGCGAAAATGTCAAGTAAATGGTAAATGATATATGAGGCGTGCGGACAAAATGAGTTACTTCTTGCACTCCAAGAATGGAGATATAGGGCGAAAATCAACACTAGAGTCAGATTTATACAATTTCAATTGATCCCATTTTGTTCAAGTCTACCGTGTCTTTTATTATTTCGGACTTACAAGTTGTATAAACTCCACCCATAAAGTTTATGTATCAATTTCCATACGGCTAAAATCCGACAAGTAACTCATTTTGTCAGCACACCTCACATATATTCTTTACCTTATTTGTGTTGTTGTCCCATAGATATTAAAATATATTATCTGAGATTCAGACACGTTTATTGAATGCTCTTCAAGAAACCGCTTTGGAGTAGCAGGTCCCCATGTACAGATTTACCTCAAAGTCTCCACTGCCCTAGCCATATACAGTATAACACGGATAGCTCGAATTTGTCGTGACCGGCCTCTGTAGTTTGAGGGATCCGTAGTTCAAAGGATATCTTACAAAGATGATGAAAAACAAATGGGACCACAGGCACCGTTCGACAGATGCGTGATTTAGAGTCTTCTGTCTTCTACCTATCCCCGTATTATACTGTATATAAGACTCTTTTTGTTTTTTAATCCATCACATGGTGTAATGCATTCGTCGACTTTGTATGTTTCTCTAGTGCTTATTACAGTATCATGAAAATGTGAACGAAGCTCTTCTGCTTTTTTTCTTTTCTTTTATTGTTAAATCAACAATCCGGGAGGGGGAGGGGCACTGTATGGAGATTCCGTGTGTCTCTGCACAGCAATCTTTTTTTTTGTGTAGGTAATTCATCAGGATACAAATATAGAGCAGGTATGGGTGAGTGTGTTTGTCATTTGTGTTTGTGCCTGCATTTCTAAAAAGTCGAAGGGAAACCATCTTCAGTTCAGGTGTTAAGATTAAAGTCTGTTATTATTGTTTATGTGTGTGTATTTCAAAGTTTAAAAATAGATTTATAGAAGGGAGTTCTGTATTACCATGCTTGAGCAATTTGATTGTGGTTTACAATTTTGTGTACTCTTGACTAGTGACTGCACCAGCCTCTGTACACTGGTGAACCATAGAGTTCATGTTATCTTTTGATGTGGTAAAAATGATTTCAGGTTGGTCTTCTTGATGTGGACTTGTGTGGACCCAGCATTCCGAAGATGTTCAACCTTGAAGGCAGAGATATTCATCAGTGTCCAGAGGGGTAAGCTACACTCCCCCCCCAAAAAAAAAGAGAAAGAAGAAAATTCAACGAAACTCAAAACCCAGATCTCCCAGTTCTCTGAACTTGGTTTCTCTTTTGAGTTCCGAATTATTATACAATGTAAGAAATGTCTAAATTGTTCTTATTTATATCTCTGTCTCAGATACTGTACAAAACAAGGTCAGTGAAATTCTAAAAAGTGCATTCGCTCAGATTTCTTTTGGATCCATAGATTATATTTTCATTTTGCATTTGTTTTTGTTTTTTTATAGCAAACTTTATTCTCAATGCCCTTGACCTTTTCTTTTTCTTTTATTTCATAAGGTGGTTGCCTGTTTATGTGGACAAGGAGCAAAAGATTGGAGTGATGTCCATTGGGTTTTTGTTAAGTGACTTGGACGATGCTGTAGTATGGAGAGGACCAAAGAAAAATGGTATCCTTTTGTCTGTGATAAATGTTGGTTGTTTTATTTGTTTGGGTTTTTTTCTCTATTTGTAATTGGAAAGGACTCATTAAGAACTTTTGTTTGTGAACACATTGTTACTGAAACTGAGCATTACATATAATGTTGATCCCTAACTGCATTTGGACAAAACTGTAACTGGAATCATATTCACATAGAACAGTGGGCGTTGTTTTTTTGTTTGTTTTTTGTTTGGTTGTTTTTTGGGGGGGGTTGGGAGGAGGTTGTTTTTTTAATTCCTTTGGGTGATAAGTTACAGCATTTGAGAGAATTGACCGATTCGTTACAAATAAGATGCATACAGCCAATGATGTAAATGGAAAAGAAGCATGTGAAGTATCAAATGTTATAGGCTCTCAAAATCACTTGAGAAGGAGATAAACTTCTCTTAACCTGTTTGCCTCCCGTAGTTCGAGGTTTGCCAATCCTGAGATTAGTTATGGTATTGTCTGTTTCGAGTTGTTTGCTTTTTAGTTGTTTTCCACCAGTTAGGCACTGTGTGCTGATATATGGTATTGAAATCAGAGTGCAAATAAAATGTGAAAAAAAGAGAAGTATCATTGACTCAAAATTGTTAGCCCTTCTAACTCCTCTCTGTAGTAGATATTAAATATAGAGTTGCTATAGAGCCTGTTGAGGATGCTATGATAGACATGAACATCTTTCCCTCCCTGTGCAAGTGCAATAATATCATTTACTTTAGTGTATTGTTCACATCTTCTTTCCTTACTTTTTAAAAATATTTTTCTGTTGAAATTGCTTCTCTGTAAATGTTTAGCAGAAATGTGGTCAGCAATTGATTATTTGTACCTGGAAAATGTGTAGTGTGTTCTTTTGATTTGTTGCAGCAATGATCAAACAGTTTTTGAGTGACGTGTACTGGCAAGACGTGGATTACCTCATCATTGACACCCCTCCAGGCACTTCCGATGAGCACATCACTGTAATGGAGGCCTTACGGGCGTATAACCCCGACGGTGCTATTCTGGTCACAACGCCACAGGTATACAATTTAAAGACTTCTTGTGCGTCAGAGAGGGGTGAAAACAAAATTTATTTTTCATTAAAAATACCTGGTTTTACTGATTTTGACTGGTCTTTGAAGTTTAGAATCGGTGAGTGTTTCATTGGTCTTATTGGGTTTTTTTTTTCATTTTTAACAGGTTGGCATTTGCTTCTTCTATACTAAATCCCACCCAAGCACTGTTCTAAAAATAGTTCCCCCATCATAAGAAAAATGACGAAACTTTTCTTGAAGTTAAGACTTTTTTATGCCTGTGATATCAATGAGACACAGTAAACATATGAAATGAACTGTAGGAGGTAGCTTATAGATGGAAGTTTTTCTTCAAATAGCTGTCAATGTTTCTAGGCCCATCCTATATTTCTGGTTGATCAAGGATGGGCTTGTTAGATCTACACATAGTTCTAGTTCTGTTTTCTTTATTCTCTCTGACTCCAGAACTAAATCCTCACCAATAACTTATTCCTCACTCTGACCTTGCATTGACTTCTCGTTTAATTTCATCCTCTTTCTTTTTGGTCGCAATGATAATCATATATATCACCTAATGTTGAGAGGCTCTCATAGTATAGAGGTAGGATGTTCGTCTCTCATTTAAAAGGTCCTGGGTCAGAAACCTGACAGCGATGGAAAATCTTTCTTCTCTAAAATGTTCTCCATTCACCTCCTCTCCTGTTCTCCAGTCATGTTTTGTCATCTGCTTTCATCTCCACTGTCTACCCAGCCTCCTGTGAGCTCCTCTCTCCTTTACTCGTGACTCTTTCTACTGCTACTCCTGGCTCTTTACTACTGCCTTTCTGCCTCACTCCTGATCCTAGGCTAGGTAAGATCAAACACTTAGCCTTTTTGGATAAGGGTGAAAAATCTCGGAGGTCCCGTATGCAAATTGCAAACCATCGACAAAAACTCCAAAGGTGTCGCCAAACAGAAGGTCACGTTGATAGCATTAGCTGAAGGATATCTCCTTTACAATTAATTATGGGAAAATCCTCAGCCGCTGTTGGTAATGAAAGTTGCAACTATCAGGTGATAATGGGCAATGTATATGTATGCAGTCATTTGTACATAATGGGCAATTTTGGTGGGATTAAGATAAGGATTTGTCAGTCAAGTGACTGACAGTATGAATTTTTTCCACCCCTAATTTCATTTATTCCTTCAGTGCCAGATCTGCGACAAATCGGCGATCATGGTTCTCCTTTCATTCCTTTTCTCGGATGCCCTTTAAAAAGCTACGTTTCCCTGATCTTTCCCCGTTACCCATTTGTTTAGGTTCCCTAAGTAGATTGCTCTGGGCCCACCCCTGCCTCATTTGCCTTCAATTTTGCCAGTGAAAGCTAGATGTTCAAGACCTTTATGTCTATTCAGGTGTCCCAAAAACTGCATTTGTCTTTTCCTGATTGTTTTTAAAATGGAGTGTTCCACGTGAGCTTCATCAAGCACTACCTCATTTGATTTCTTTTCCTTCCACGATACTCTTAGCAGCCTCCTAAGGAACCACATTTCTGCTGCTTCTATTTTATTTTCACTGTCTTTAGTGATTGTCCAGCATTCACAGCCATATAGAAGGGTTGACCAAACATAGCATTTCAGGACTTTCATTTTGATGTTCATTGAAATGTTTCTATTTTTCAGGATTGGGCTCATTTTATTGAAACTAGCCTTAGCCATTGTAGTTCTCCTTTTTATTTCTGTGGAGTATTTGGCATCAGATGTTATCATATATCCTTGATATTTCAACTGTTGGACTTGTTTGATCTTTTCACCTTTGCTAATGAGATTTACAAATAGGATTTGCTGCGTTTTTGGATATTACCATGCATTCTGTTTTCTTTACATTGAACAATAATTCTTTACGTTCACTTCCTATTACAAAATATGAAAGTGAAATGTATAACCCTAGATAAATTATTTAAAACTCGTAAAATGTACTGGGCTATGATGTGGGGGTTTTCTTTGACATAAGAAAGTATCGAAAAAGAGCAAACAGTTGTTTATTGGTGTCTTTCCTAAGGCTGTTGCTGTCGGTGATGTAAGGCGAGAGTTGACCTTCTGTCGCAAGACTCACATCCCTGTGGTGGGCATCGTGGAGAACATGAGTGGTTATGTCTGTCCACACTGCTCTGTGAGTACATTTAGCAGAGTTTGTCAACAGACTCTTATCTAATTTCATTTTTCTGTCATTATCACATTTTTCCACAATTCATTATGCTCTACGGGCATTACCTCAGCCATGGTTAATTTTGTGTGTAACTAAAGAAAGGTATCAAAAGTCAGATTTTGACCATTTTGAGTTAAGGCATGTACCTTATAGGTAATTCAATGCTGAACACAGGGGACTTTAGATTTTTAGATATCTCAAGTAGTTTTTGAGATATTGCACATTTTGCGAGGTAGGGTATAAAAATATAATTTTGAGAAAATGAGCTTTTAAGTTTAACAAACGTGAGAAAACGATATTTTAAAACGTATTCATTCTTGGAAAATTCTTTTCCAATTTGGCATTCAGTTGATATCAATGTCATCAATGGAATTCAATGTAGTAGGGAAGAGAAAAGCGTAAACGTACTTCAAGAATAGATTTTAGCACCTTTTAAAAGCAGTTTTAATTATTTGTTTATATTTTACCCTACCCTCAAAAAAATTCAAAATAAAATATTTAGAAGTCAAATCAATGAAAACCCTTTCACCACGTTGTAAAAAAAATGGTGGTTCTATCTTTTAAAAAAATTGAAATACATTTGGTCTAAAAAGTGATTTTTGTCATTATCAGCCTGTTGCTCAAAACGGTATAGGGCGACTTTTGGTACCTTTCTCTAGGCATACACAATTTATTAAATATATTGCGATTTCAAATTTGTAAAGCTTTTTTTTCTGATGCCTGAACTGCTCTTTCTCTCTCTCTCTCTGTGCTGTGTTTTTGTTTTCCTTTGAAATCATGGATTTGTCTTTCAAATGTTTTATTGCCTTGATTGTCTAAAGGGACGTATTTTCATTTCATGACTCGTCTGTATTTTTCCGCAGGAATGTACAAACATATTTTCCAAAGGCGGGGGGCAGTCTTTGGCTGAGCAGAATAATGTTCCATTTCTTGGTGAGTGCTTTAGGTCTGTCCCAAAAGTAGGAGCATCAATTTTTCTCAATCCACCTTATATATGTGTTGTCGCTAATATATATGTGGGGCATCGTTGTGAAATTGGCCACTTGTCAAAATAATGAAATTGAAGAGATAAACATTATTTCCATGCCTGGGGAAGTTTTATCTAATATTTTTTTTAATGTTTTTTTTTGGTTCAACATCCTTTTTTATGTCCATTTAAAACATACTTCTGTGTGGATATTGCAAAAAAAAACTTCTAATCAAAGGCACAAAAAGCATTTATTTGCAGTTTCCAAAGACACTATAACTTTTGGAAGTAACCAAACTTTGGCAGGCCATTTTCTCACTATTTTTTACCTCTGACACCATACTACCTCCATGGCTTCAATCACAAATATCTTGATTTCTATGAAAATGGGTTTTTTTTCATCAAAAACGAGACAAACGAACATGCTTTAAGATGGTACCAAAAATTCTATATGCTTAAAAACTGACGAGTGCTTCGATTCCAAAATGTCCTAATAATAATGATAATCATAAATGACATTTATATAGCGTTCAACCCTGATTAAAGTGCACAGTCTCTGAGTGCTATACAATACAGTACAACGTACAACAGTAACATAAAATGTTATATTCTGACTAAAAGAAAATCACTCCAAATATTCATCTTATTGATTTAAAAACAGAAACGACTTCAGCTGACATTTGAATGAATCAACAGATTTGAGCTCTCTTAAAGTACTTGGTAAGGCATTCTAGATCTTGGGGCCTTACACATATCTATGTGAGTGCAGTTCCACTAGTCTCCCAAGTCTTGCTAGATCTAAATCTAGATGGCATCCCAACTGTTTCCAATACAGAGTAATGCTGGCCTGTCTCCTCTTGGTTCACAGCCCGTCTCTGAGGTGATCTTAATTGTAGCCATTGGCGTGTAACAATTTACAAGCAGCAAATACCCACGGCAACAACAACAGTTATGTTTTGACATCTTCTTTATTGTTTATGGCTTCAGATTCGAGAGGTGGATTGAAAGTTCTTATCACTTCTACAACTATACAAAGAAGTTTATAAAACCAAATGTGAAACAGCGTGGTGAAATCAGGTGCTCTTCAAATTAATGAAATTGAAGAGACTGCCATTTTTATCGAATTTTGGTTTTGGCTTGCTGCTGTCTAATTAAATTAAAAACACATTTACTGAAAAATGTTGATTAAAGGCACACAAAAAATGTAAGTTTTCAGTTTCCACATACTATCAAGCTATGGAAATAAGCAAATTTTGGCAGCCATTTTCTTGCTAATTCAACCTTTGAAACCTGGATTCCTCACCTTCTTCAATCTCAAATATCTCGATAGATGGGCATTTTTTCACCTTTAGCAAGACAACAGAACAAGCTTTAAGATGATACCAATACTTCTACATGCCCAAAATTTGCCGAAGGCTTGATTCCATCACGAAGTGACACAAATTTATGTTTGTGATTTTGCTAAAGGCTCGACTCATGATAATTCAAACAAGGAATAAGGTTGGTTTTTTAAAATGTTGTCTGTTTTTGTGTTCCTCTCTACGTGCAATTGTTGTTTGATTCAGGTGTTATTTTTGTAATATTAATGTTTCTCTGCTGGATTAGTAAAAGGACTTAAAGTGCAAAAAGAGTGCTAAATTTTTGCAGATGACTACAGCCCTCCTTATTGTTTTTTTTTCTTACACCGTATGGTGTCTATTACTGACTATGTGCTATGTGCTGCTCATGGGCGTTTTTTTTTTTAATTTGCTTTTTCAGGAAGCATCCCCATTGATCGACATTTGACAATGAGTCTTGACACAGGGAAAAATTTCTTAGAGGAAAACCCAGGGTCCCCTGCTGTTGAGGCTATCAGCCACATGGTGACAAGGCTGATTGCAATTGACAAAGATTTGCCATAAGTTCAGAGAAGAGTTTTTTGGATATTATATCATCACTGTTGCAAGAAAATTGAGTAGCTACAGCAAAACTCTGTTAACACCAACTTCATGGGACCAGAGACTTTCTTTGTGTTCAGCAGATTTCGTGTGTAGGAAAGTTACAATGCATAAAGTAAAGGGGGGGGGGGGAAACAATAGGTTTGGAAATCCTTTTGTAGGTACAGGCATCTCATGTTTAATGGCTTCATGTTAAACAGTCTACTGTAAATCTTTGTAATCACCATATCAAACTGAGTCAAACTGAACTATTCATTTTTCTTGTGAAGGTGAGTTGTGTAGGATGTGGTGTGTTGATTAATGAGTTGTGCAAGACCTTTCAATAGCTGTTTGCATAATGGAAAAGATCAAAATTCTACACCGATTTCATGCAATTGATGGATTTGCCAATTGGTTACTGAAGTTCTCATCCTTAATTCATTTTCTTTTGTCATAAACATTATTTGAATGCTTTTTGTTTTCATCCACGTAGTAGCTGTTTCTTCTGTTATAGAAAAAGATCTCTGATATGTCAAGTCTGATTCTCTTCAACCTGCACTTTATGTTATTTACTTTCATTTTAAGTTTGGGTTGTGATGTTTTGTCTCCTTTTCATAAGTTTTGTATGCTATGAATTTGAGTGCATCTGAAAACCATGAGAATATTATGCATCAACATTTATTTTCATTGATTACTAATCAGGGAGTTAATGTTTTACAGTTTTTTACGATTTGAACTTTTGTTTGACAGTGCTTGTCAGTTACAACAATAATTTGTTACAATTTATGTACCTGTATTTTAAACAGTTATTTTTTTGTGTGCGTAGTGTCCAGAAAGATCAGATGTATTTAGGAGAAGGAGGAAAATGTCATTGATTTAGGCTGGTCTCTGTTAAACTGAGGAGAACAAAATCATTTAGCAAAATAATGAAAAAGGTGCCTAACGTTCCTGTAAGTTTCAGACCATGTTTATGTCGGGGTTGTTTTGGGGTTTTTTTGCGACCAGGAATTGAGTTTTACACTTGTTCCTATAACAAACCTTATTCTGAAAGTTTGGGGTTTTGTTTTTTTAAAATTGTTTGATTTTAGTATCCCAGTGCCCTGCTGGACCCTGCAAGGTTATTTCAATGGCTGAATGTAATGTTTGTACGTTTTATCACATATATGTGAAGCATCAAGGTGAAATCAGGCACTCGTCAAAATAATGAATTCTGAGGAATCGGCATTTTTCTATCAGTTTGGAAATTTTTTTCTAATTTTTGTTTTTTGCCTCAACACCTTGTTTGTCCATTCAAAAACACTTTTATGGTGTTGATTTTATTGAAAAACGTTGATTAAAGGCACAAACAAAAAATGTAAATTTGCAGTTTCTAAGGACTCTTAAGCTATATCAGTCACCAAACTTTGGCGGCCATTTTCTCGCTTATTTTACTTCTGAAACCTGGTGACTGCACCACCTTCAATCGAAAATATCTCGACTTCTATGTAAGAGAAATGGATATTTTTTTCATTGAAAGCAAGGCAACTGAACAACCTTTAAGGTGATACCAATAACTCCATATGCCTAAAAATTGACGAGCGCCTGATTCCACTGCATGGTGACATATATAATATGCAATTTTTTTTTCTACCACTGAGAAAAATTCATCTCTCAGTGGTGTACAATGATAGATCTAATATTTGTAAACCCTTAGGCCCACCCCCACCCAGAGAAATAGTTACAAGGGTTAGAAACTTTTGAGAATGATTGAAAGGCATGTTCAAAAGAATAGCCGATCACACTCAAATCTATAAAATTGTGGGTTCTGTGTTAATACTTATGTATTGTTCTATTATGACAATATTCAAATATGCATGTTTTAGCATAGTGCTCAGCTCATAGACTTAATTTACATGGAAAAAATAAGGTTACTTGAGGTCTGTAAAGAATCATAGAGTTCAGTGTGAGGGCTACTGAGTTACAATAAAACCTTGGTAACGTGAACTTTACGAAACCAGAGAATTTCTTCATGTTAAGCAGATATCGTGTTAAGAGAAAAGTTGCAATGCATTGAATAAAGAGGGGGAAAAAAACAAGGGAATAAACAAATCCTTTTGTGATACTGTATCAGGAATTTCATGTTAATAGGCTTTGTGTCAAACAAAGTCTACTGTATATTGAAATCTTTTTGCAAAAATGTGTAGCAATATTGAACAATGACAGCTTTTAGATGTGTCCCCAGTGTTCCCTTGAAAAAAAAGCTGTGGCCTTCACTCTTATTGGCAATGTGCTGTCATAACTAGCAGGGATATTTCTGTATGTGAAATTGATGCTTTGTGTCAGTGATGGGATATGGTGCCCTTAGTAGAGTGCTGGGGCTTTAACTCCATGATGCATAGTTTTGATAAATAGAATTTAAGTTCAACAAATCGCTCTCTTGTGGTTAAAATTTTATAAAACCTTAAGGGTTAAGCATCAAACTGAAAAAATACTGGTCAGAGCGTCTTGAGCCTTTGACACGGTGAGTGGGGCATCTGTGTCAATTATCAATAATGGACAATATGTAATTTAGTTCTCGCAAAAAAAAGTGGAGTGAAAGCCCTTTCGTTCCAAGGGTGTATTGTGTTGTGCAGTATGACAGAAGTGACTGAAAGTATGTGCCTATTCGAAACCAATCGTTGCCCGTCTGCTTTCAAAGACAGGCTTTAATTAATCCTGGGAAATGGCTTAAGAATGAGTGGATTGTTGTTTGAAAGGAGCATAAAAGGCTTAAACACGTTCATTTTTCCCTAGGGATGTACAGTGGAGTCCACTTAAACCGAACTCCGCAGGACAGCCGGATGTTCTTTGGTTTAGCCATGTTTTTGGTTCAGAGAGTTAGCTCAATGAATGAGCGATGATTGTTGACAACATTGTTGGGAATGCCATGCTTGCGTCAAATTTCATATTTTGGAAGTTTTTTCCTCATCTACCTCTTCAGTAACTTCAATATAAGCTGCATGCTGTGCGCATTTTGCTTTCTCATCAATATTGTCAGCTTGCTTAATCTGCCAAATGATCACACAGAACAAATAAAAGCACAGATAGTACTGCACACTACATTGCGCTCTGCACTAGGCTAGACAAGTGAGCTCAATGTCAGTGACTTGTGACATCATGAGACATGTGGTTGCTCATGTGTAGGGCCAACGAGAACTAGCTGTGCAGAGCCGATAGGCCATGACCATCTGACAAACAGACAAACCGTTCACCATCTATGCATTATTATACGCAGTGTGAAGACCTTTTGATGTGTGTATGATAAATGTACACTGGCAGTGCCACTCTCTGGCTCACAGTCGACACACATAAGCTCTCATGTCTCTTTTGTTTCGCTATCTTGAAGTGGATAAGGCTTGATGGTTAACGTTACCTGAGGGTTGCCAGTGATGATTTAGACAACATTACCCTGGAAATTATTTTCAGTTTAGAAATAAGAGCATATCTGCTATTTGATAGTTTTCTTTCAGAGACAAGAAAGTGAAAAACGGGATTCTTTTTCTTTTTTTTTCGGTTTACCTCCGTTTTGGATTAACCATGTTCGGTTTACGTAGACTCCACTGTACCTATCTCTACATCTCCTGAGTAGTTTTTCAGTCATGGCCACACAGAGGTTATGATGTGGAGTACATGACATGTACTTGTTGATGGAAAATTGCATTAAAAAGAAATGTTTGAGGAGACTGGCTTTTTGCCCTGTTTTATGAGCTCAATGTTTGTTTGCCTGTCTGTCTCCTTCTCTCTCTCTCTCTCTCTCTCTCTCTCTCTCTCTCTCTCTCTCTCTCTCTCTCTCTCTCTCTCTCTCTCTCTCTCTCTCTCTCTCTCTCTCCCTCTCTCTCTCTCGCTCTCCCTCTCTCCCCCCTCTCTCTCTCTCCCCCCCTCTCTCTCTCGCTCTCTCTCTCTTTTTCTCTCTCTCTCTTTCTCTCTCTCTCTCTGTATATATATATATATATATATATATATATATATATATATATAATATATATATATATATATATATACGCGCTCAGTGGGAGGGGGAAACAACTGATCCATGACTCCCGGCTACTCCCTTTTATTGAGTTTTCGCCCTTAGAGCGTAGTGATCTCCACTCGCTGAGTTAGTTTCAACTTTTCGGATAAGCTTGTCTAATTCTAATTGGAAAGACATAGTAAAACATACGTCTAGGTCCTTGTCTTTTCTAAAACGTATTTACCTTTCTTGTCTTCCCTTTTCTTTTCTGACTGATAAAAGAATTGAATCTTATACTAACCATGTACATTTTATCCCTTACCTTGACCATAGATTGTGTGAATCGCCTCTAGATACTTGTAATACTAGATCTAGTTCTAGATAGTTTTAATGGCTGTCTATCTTACTACTGAAAAAAAAAAGAAATGACCACCTTCCAGACTGTTACACGATCATATTGTTCAGCAAAGAGACTTATTATTGTGAGATACGCCTTTTATGTGAGAACTCTGGGACAAGTCAAGAGTTGAGAGATATGTTGACGCAGCTGGTCAACGTGTGCCTCTTGCAGGTCTTGTTTTCTCTCTCTCTCTCTCTCTCTCTCTCTCTCTCTCTCTCTCTCTCTCTCTCTCATCGCAGGTGTTTGGAAGACGCCATCTGTAGGTCCTACTTCTTTTTCTTTTACATTTCCCTCTGCTGTTTGTGTCTGTCATTATTTCCCCCGTTCTATATTGCCGTTATCGTGTCTATTCTCTTGCCTGTACTCAATCTAAAACCAAATCTCAATTCACCTCTTTTCTAGTGGGTTGTTGGAAGGCTCCGCTTGAAGTAAGGGTCGACTTCTTTCTTTTCCGTTGGTGCCTCTATCTTTTCATACTTTTGCCTTTGTCACCCAAAGCTACTGAATAGGTATCAAGATGAACTACGATACGGATGACGCTGGTTCGAATCCCCAATGGAGGTATTGTAGAACTGTGGCTTGTTCTGGGAGTTTGCATGTCTCTTGTTGGCTCAGTGATGTTGGAAACTGGTGTTATATTCACCGCCGTGGCTTCATAAATGACCTTTAGAGAAAATGTGTGTGTCTGTGTTACGTGTATAGAACGTGTGTGAGGTTAAAATTATGTTCTAACGTCCTAGATCGTGCTTCTGTTCGTCAGGCCTTGGAAAGACGAAGCCCACTGCTACTACTTTATAGCTGGTCGAAAGGGGGGTGTGGGGGGGGGGGAATCGTACACCGTGGAATATATATATATATATATTATATATATATATGTAGATAGATAGATAGATAGATATCCGAAATCAATTGTGTCTTCTGGGTTCAATTAACGCAAAAGCCTCTGTGTTTATCACTATATATATCAGTGTACCGTACCAGAACTTTGCAAGGAATCAAAATGACAAAGAAATGTTATACTGTTGTACGAAACTAGGAAAGGAATTAACAAATAAGTGAAGACAAGCAATATAAAGATATAACATAAAAATGCTTACTTGTAAATTATAATGACACGAGAGACAGCTGTCTTTCAGGAGAATGGCAAAGGGAAGAAGGGAAAAAAATACGACCAATAGAAGTTTCAGTTACAGTAACTATTATGTACAACGTAAATGAGTTTTGACTGAATGCCTCAGAGATTTGCCTTAGAAATTACTGTATAGTTTTGGAAAGAATTGGGTCTACACAATTACACTAAAATTATGACACCCACTACAGTGTGTGCAGTTATCACTGAACCTCAGGGGGAAGCTGTCACTTCTCGACGTGTCCGCTAGTTCTCAGATTAAGGTGATAATGAATTTTATCATAAAAATCCAAACTGAACTTTAAGGCCTAGCTAAAGAGAAATATAATATGCTCCTCCGCAATATGCCAAATCAAAGCACCTTTTCTCATCGATGGTAACATGTTGATGTCAAACTGCCAAAGCAGAATGGCTGTGTCCAGTGGTCTGCTGGTCCAGTTCAGGCAATAGGACGAGGTTGTTTGTTGCCTTCCATTTTACAGACGTCCCGTCCTATAATGTATCTCGCTGGAATCTAACACGGGTTGCACATTACGGCTGGATCGGGCCGATCGCCCAAACAAACACGCTTGATTTGACCTAGTCGGGCGATCGGCCCAACCCGCCGATCCCATCCGTAATGGGCACCACGCCGTATAAAAGGAGCTTAGTCGATGACATGTGGCATGATGTGGGGGTAGTCACTCCAGCTTTGACGGGCTGTCCGAAACTTTGATGACCTTTTTTCTGTTCAGTGTCTTTTTGTTAGATAGTAATAGTAACCTATAAAAAGTCGATGTGTCGCCTGTATATAATATTGTATGTAATTTTGAAACTCATTTGTTGCTCCACATACCAAAGATCACAGTAAGCAGGGGACAGTTTATACATATTGTTTATTCTAATACAGCAGCACACTTCAAAGAATTTTAAAAATAAACAATAATGAAGTGAAAGTGAAAAAAACAACTCACAATACATATTGGATTGCTGACAGGAAAATGTAAAAAAATAAACATATAAATAATTACCCACAGTAACGAGAAAAAAAACCCAGAAGGAATGTATTTCAATTGCAAGGCATGTTTAGGGCAAACGATACAATTCGTTTTGCAGATTTCAGCAAGTTTTGAATGGCACTTAGCATAAGGCTGGGTGTCTACGAATAATTGATTACTTACATATGGTCAAAAATACACCACTTAAATGTCAAATTCAATATGTTTCTCTATTGAACAATTCACGGGTTAGAAAGTGCGTACCGTCGTGAGATACATTATAAACATCTTCACACCCTTACCCTCTTTACAGTTTACGACATATGATAAAAATGTACATTTTACGAGAAAATATCTGCCAAATTATCATAAATGCAGCTGTGATATATTAATATGAGTTTTCATCAGGAAACGACAAGGCCTAATAATTAATTGTGTATTCTATGGCCTTGGACTCATCGTGTGTTTGCTTCCTGAAAGAATTCTTTTAAGCGTACAAAAGAACTTGGACACGATTTTATAAAGTAGATGTAAGGAGGAGAAGGGGAACGGAAAGGGTTCTTTGGGCCGTCCAGGTTATTGGGTCAGTCCCATCTGCTTTTCCGTTTCTTGCAGAGGACACACATTTTCATGGGATCTTATATTTTAAGTTATCTCTGGTCTCAGTAAATGTTTTTCTGTCAATCTGTACTAATTAGGAATAATTCAACGTTACCAGTTTACAAATTTGAAACGTATGAGAAAGAGTGAACAAAACAATTACTTGTTTTGCAGTAAATAATTCTTCCACATCACCAGAAAAGGCCTCTACTAAATAGATCAGACATCTTGCACTGTGTGTGAAACAAAGGGGCTGCACTCCGATATATATGTAAAACAGACTTGACCCGTAAGTTCAAAAACTGATTTATTATTTCTTATCAAAGGTGCCTTGTCCTTTGTAGTTGCCGACATATCCAGAGTTGTCAGCTCTGCGGAAAACAGAAAATTGTTGTAAATAATTATGTAGCTTTGAAATATCTTGGAATGCTCTCATCAGGAAACAACAGAGCCAAAGAATTATTTTGAAATCTTCTTACACATTTTGCATCCTACTGTCCTGCAGAAAGTGTAAAGCAAAACTGATAGCAAACGTAAAAACAAAAGCCAATCAATCTGAAATGTAACATTCAAATGATAGAATATTATGGCTTTGCATATTTTCTTTTCATTTATTTTGAACAATCGACAAAACTTAATACATGTATCGCTAATCCCAAGACATAATTTGATCAACGTCTTATATTGAGAGTGTGGGCCGGAGGACATATTATTTGTAACATATGGAATGGTAAAGGGAGGGGGGGAGGAGGCTTCTCTCAAAGAAAGTTTTGCTGTGAGCTACTTAGGATTGGTCACTACACAACCTGTCACGCCTCTAGTTGAGATACTACCTCCCCACCCCCCCCCCCACCCCCACCCCAATCCCCCGCCCCCTTTAAAAAACATCCAAAGCAATGGTGACTCTGTATTATTGTGTGTTTGACACTATTTTAGGTAGTAGACTGCAGATCCTTCTATTATAAGAAAATGCTAGGATGTGGTTTCTTTTAGTTTCTAAAGAACTTTTTAAGAAACAAAACAGTGAACCATCCTGTTCTGTTCCATGTCTGATGAGACTGGTATAAGCCTGCTTTAAAATAATGCGTGGTAAAATCATAACTTGACTACGTGCCTTGCCTCAAAAGGTGTGCAAATGTGACCGGTTTATGTTTTTTTAATCTATCTGTCTATCTGTCTACCTATATCTTTATCTCTATCTATCTATCAATCTATCTATCTATCTATCTATCTATCTATCTATCTATCTATCGTGGAAGGACGTAATAATAGACCGTTTTAAAGAGGTTCCTATACTTACGAGACTTTTCAGGAGTGCTTACCGTCATGTGATACAATATAGACATCTTCACTAATGCTATTCCTTTCCCAACCACAGTATGAATCTCCCTCACTCATCCCAAACTCAGGAAACATTTTACCTTTCTGCACGTCCCTCAATGCCTTTGCCCTTTCCACTTTCGTCAAACCTTTCTTTGTGGGAGCCTGTGTACCCAGAGGTGTCCGTGAGACGGGCTGTCGTGGTGTCCACCTTGGGCGCTTTCACCTGGGAACAGAACACAGAACACAGTGAGGGGTGGTTAGAGGGTGTTATTGGTTGACCTCGGTCATACTTCTCTCTCTCTCTCTCTCTCTCTCTCTCTCTCTCTCTCTCTCTCTCTCTCTCTCTCTCTCTCTCTCTCTCCCTCGCTGTCTGTTGTTACTTTTTTAGTAGTTTTTACGGCGCTCGCAACTGCATAAGGTCTTATGAGTGCCAAGGGATGGATGTCAACAGAGAAGTCCTTACAGGGAATCAGACTTACTCTGCTCACCTCTTTAGCTTCAATAGCACAAACTCTGCTTCGACTATCAAGGCACCCTGGGAATAGTGGGTCACAAGAGTGTGACAAACATACAAAAGAAGTAGAGGATGATAAATGACAACAGTAAGAATTAGGAAAGAAAAAGAAGCAGTTCCCTGTTGTAGATCATGCACAGTTATGAGCGTGACATGATGAATCAGCCCATTTACAATTCTACTGTGCAAGAACGAAAAATGTCCCCCCTTTGGGAATGGCCAAAAGACACTTAAGTCAGTTGCACATCTTCACCCGCCCACCCCCAATCTCTCTCTTTCTCTCTCTCTCTCTCTCTCTCTCTCTCTCTCTGTCTCTCTCTCTTTCTCTCTCTCTCTCTGCCTCTCTCTCTCTGTCTCTCTCTCTGTCTCTCTCTCTGTCTCTCTCTCTCTGTCTCTCCCTCTCTTTCTCTACATTTTCTATTCTCAGCCCTTCTGTCTCTGCTGGTCCTTATCCCCATCTCTGCATCAACTAATATCTATCTATCTATCTATCTATCTATCTATCTATCTATCTATCTATCTATCTAT